AAACTCTGTCGGGCACGCGCCCCGCACAAAGCGCCCCGCACTTCCTTCTCGGTTGCAGGTCAAAGGGTATTGAGCGTACCCATTCATTTCTACAAACGGGGGCGCCAGCTTACGTAAGTATCCTTCGCAAGAGAAAGTCAAATGTATTACAAACAAAATGGTTTGTATCTAAGGTTACACTCATAAATTTCCATTGTTATTAAGTGCTCTTGACAATCACTGGACTGTATAGCCGAGAAACCGGATTTAGTAAGGTACATACTTGTAATTGGCGGCTCGGCATCCCAAGATCGCATGTAGCTCGCCGTGATCGTCTAGTGGTTAGGACATTGCGTTGTGGCCGCAATAACCCAGGTTCGAATCCTGGTCACGGCAATCGCTGTGGAAGTGTATTGTCGCGGCAGTGCGATCAACTTTTTTTTCTTTTACAACTATAACATTGACAATTTACCTTTTAACATGCTCTTTCTTTCTATTTTAAATGATTTGTACATTAGCTTCATTTTTTTTTCATCGGCCAAGTCTTACAATAAAAACTGCATATGGTTTATCCATGCCCACGGTTGATTTTCATGGTCGTTGAATTTATTCTACTGAATAATTAATTTCTTTTATTATGTTCAGTTTTATATTCAGGCTTCGCTTTTCCAAGATCGCATGTAGCTCGCCGTGATCGTCTAGAGGTTAGGACATTGCGTTGTGGCCGCAATAACCCAGGTTCGAATCCTGGTCACGGCAATCGCTGTGGAAGTGTATTGTCGCGGCAGTGCGATCAACTTTTTCCCCCTTAATAGAGGAGACATACATCTTAACGTTGTAAAGCGGCACATCTTCTTTTTTGTTCGGCTTAAAAAATATTTAACAGCGTTTAAAAGCTGCAGTACTACCTAAGCCCGCATGAAGACGCTAAATCTGTGAAGCTCCGTCTATGTGGCCGGTCATTTAGACTTCCATTTAATATCAAGTGTTTCAAAAGGTTATTGTGGATGAATATGAAATATGCAATTACATATTTACTGCAAATGGACTTTGTTTACCTCAAAATATAGAAAGTACTAGTATTCTATAAGAGTCGAATGTGTAGTTAGATGTGAAGCAGTCTAATGAGTTCAGCTCATATCAAGGTGGGCTAAAAATCGTGTAGTAGGAAATCTGACAGAAAACACGAAGATGCATACGCATAAACGCTCTACCTACAGCTAAGCCAAATTTCTACAATTTCCCCACAATAGATCTTCCCACAAACATCATATTGACAGTAAGGTTTACGCACACATGTAACCACACAAGGTGTCACCCAACCATGAAAAACAAACAACACGGGAATCCCTTGGAAACGGTCCTGATTTTTTAAGCCGTCCATTAAGGCTCCCATGACAAAATGTATAGTCCGTTCCGCTGTAACGTATTGATTTTTTCCCAGATCGATATCGGAGTTGAGCATAAACAATGCCTCGGTGGACCGGGGATAAACCGTTTTATATCAAGGAAAGCGGATTCACAAGTTGACAGCGCCTCACAGAGAGGATAAACGCCTCGGCTATAGTCTCAGTATTCCTATATTGGTAAGAAAAAGAATGGTTGAAATTGGATGAGATAATGGTGTAAATGTGGGTGTTCTTGTTATGGATGATAAATGGTACACTTTCTTTTTGCCTTTATAAATATCTTATTTGCGTGCGTGTGCTGTGTGTATGTTTTGCATGTGTGTGTATGTTTGTGAGTGTGTGCGTGCGTGCGTGCGTGCGTACGTGTGCATATTATGTATGAGATACCACCTCCCTCGCTTGTTCATGATATGGCCCAGCCCTTAAACTAATAATAAAAGAGTTTGTTTTTATTTTATGGTTGTTGCTTCACCTGAGCTGAATATACCTGTCCACCCCCAAAAGAGAGGTTTTGGTATGCGCCAAATGTGAATTATGACGACCCCAGTAGAAGAAATATCGACCGCTGACGTCAAGGGCCGTTAACCCTGCCAATGACGGATAGCACGGAACAGTGCTGGCTATTTTTAGCTTGTTGCCATGTGGGCAGCAGGGAGAGAGTGGAAGGCATGGAAACCACGTGGCCGCTTGTTGACAACCAAGCCTTGGCTGGGCCCATGCGTGCCTCGATACCTCTGACCCCAGCCGGGGAGGGGTCACCCTCAGCGGGGCCAGAGCTGAGAACGTGGAATAATATGGAAAGCTGTAATGACTGATGATAATATGGTGTGATGATGATGTTGATGATGAGAGCAATACGATTTAATGTAACAACCAACACCAACAATCGTAGCGACCAAAAATAAAGGCGGTAATAATTGGTCTATGTGTCTTTATTATTTCCCGAGAATTCGGATAAGATTATGGATTAATATGAACCCCTGAAATCAGCAACGTGGCAGCTAATGCATCGATGTAGACATTGACTACTGCAGACAGAAAAAAAAAACATAGATGTAAATTAAACCTGTTTGAGACCAGAGCAGAGCAGAGCTGTACTAAATAAATGCTCAGAACTGAGCACGATGTTAAATTTAGCTTTGGACTGATGTGGTGGAATTTATGACTCTGCATTTACTGATCAATGCGCAACGAATGCGGAAGGTTAGAGGTAAATGTGCCAGATATGTATCCACAGGATCACTTTGGTGGTACTAACTGAGACTTAAATGTGTGGTTCTGCTGTGGTGAAGGGCGTTGTCTTCCATGTTGTGCATGGGACCTTCGAATTCTGGAGAAGGCCTAGATTAGGGTGGGTTGGCAGGGGTATTTAAAGGGCCAGGGTAACCCTTTACCACTACCAGTCGCTGTGTTGCCAACGTGTCATCCCTTTGCATGCCAATTCCTTTGGCAAATTATTCACCCTGTTTGATCAATTGTTAGTAGTACTTTTTTCAGCAACCCAAATGAGTTCGGTAGGGACCAAAGTAGGGGCCGGGCGAGGTCAGCACAGCATTTTGGTCGACAGGTATTTCAGAGTCAAAGGTTATGGCAATACGTCAGGCCTCAGCACTTTGCTTTGCTCCCGTGAGGCAAGGATACAGCAACCCCATGATCTCATTGCTTCAGCCTGTCATCGCCAAAATTTGCAATTTGCAACTTCAGGCCAAGCTTATTATCGTGGACTTCATTATCATTGCCCATGTGTGTGATAACTTCTACTTCGTCTCATGTATCCCCCTCCCCCTTTTCTCCCTTGGCATATGAAGTTCAACACCGCCGAAGTGGCCTGCGGGTCGTTAGCTGAGGCCCCAGTTGGGAGGGTAGCCCTGCCTGTTTCTAAAGGGGCGGATTCAATTTCACAACATTTGCTGTCGTGTGGCCACTTTATGGGCGTTCGCTGCACGCACAATGCGGTGTTTTTAAAGTTTTATTACCCTCTTACTATGAAATCAGCGTGTCGCAGCACAACTACGTGCCTCTGGTCGAATCAGCAGGCTAACCTATGCATAGAGCAGCAACTCGGCGTACAGCAACTTTTCCATCTTGGTCAACTTTAACCCACTTTACGCCTGACATGAATGCATTGACAGGCGGCAATCGATAGGTGAAAGGGAGCTGCCCTGCCTTTCTTGACGGATAGCCCATAATAGTGTACCTCCGGAGGGCTGACGGGACATTGTGGACAAAATCAACAAACTGGGCAAAATTAAAGGTAGCCAAGGTTGTTGGGGAAAGGAATGGGGGTGTTGTGCATGGTGCCAGTTGTGAGTAAGTTGTGTCGGTATGTCCGTGCGGTATGGGCTGGAGCCACGTATAATGCTATATTTATAATGGAAACTGTCAAAATACTGCTGCCTTCATATCACACCAGTCGCAGAAGACATAACGTTATCTCGCAGATGAGCGGTCCTTGATCGCCTTGTCTTCAAGGACAACGTTCTTATGGGGTGTGGCGCTGACTGCACTGGGTCAAGACGTGCACAAATCGCTTTCTTATCACTCTCGAAGCGGGCAACAAAGCATAGTATGAAGATTTGACGAAAGTTGAGAAGATGGACCCACGGGGACAGGTGTACACACAGCCGCCCGGTGTGCTTTTCCAGGCGGCGTGTCCTGCTCTGTCCGCGGGCTAGCACCGTTCTCAGGCCGGGCGGGATTGATGAGCTGGTGCAGGGCGTGACCGCAGTGTGAAATCAAATGGAAGGCGCGAGCCGGGACGCCATGACGGGCACGCCTCCCAGCGGCACTCTGGCACCAGTATATATATCACCACAGATATCAGGACCTCTCATCTTGGAGTAGGCATGCTAGCCTGGGCGCCGACTTGCTGATTTATCCTCTTCCCTTGATTGAATATCATGCTGATATTGTGGTCCTCTCATAATAATCTATCGAAGGGTGTTTTTTAAGATATGTACATGTGGTTATCTATCTAGGCTACACGTTAATCCAATCAATCATTCAATCAATAATAGATTCATTTAGGACAGTCAACGTAGTCTGAGAGTTGATTTATGGATGTTGGTGTCACAATGTAAACAAATGCTAGGACAGCTCAAAATCAGTAAAATATTGAGTGTCGAACGTTTAAAATTGTTCTCAAATAGAGAAAGCTTTCCTAATTTCTAACGTAACGCGAGCAACTCCATGTTTCCTCTGTTGAAATTTATCGTCTGGGCAATATAGTATAATGACCTCCCTTTCTTCATCGTTCTAGTATAAGTTAAGTAATGAGTGAGTTGTTTCGATGTGACATACTTAGCTCGCAGTGCACTATTTTTTTGTCAATTTGCAAATGGAAATACTAGTATTATGGCATTGTCCGTAGTTTGACAGTTTGAATAAAGTCAACGTTCGGCAGGACACTGGTGGTCGGTCAAATGTCATCACGCTTAGTTCACAGGTGTGACATCGGATGGCGGAAATGCCATTTATCGATCGGACCAGAATCGGCGATCCTCTATACACTTCAACCAAACTAATCAGGTATACCGCCGAACTTTGCACAATTCTGATGTCGGAATTCTGAGGAAACTTTTGGCAGCAGCGCGCGCTGAGTTGGAACTCGAGACACCTGTTATTACCACCCCTATTTACTCACATTCCGATTGGTCCAGAGATAATTAGCTGCTTGTGTAATCTCTCTGATTTTCCTGCAACGTTATTACGTTTGTCTAAATGCCAATGTCTGAGCACAAATAGGACATTGTGAAAGAAAAGGACGAATATATAGCTAGGGAATTTTTGTCACACACTGACTGAACGAGCGGATCCGAAGGATTTAATTATGCGAACAGGGGTGGGTAAGTGAAATACGGGAGTATACAAGTGGAATTAGGAGAGGGCGTTGCCAAAAAGTCGGGACCAATTGGCATGGTTTAGGTGATGGTTGTTTTCTGTGAATCGGTTTGGAAATACAGCGGAAGCGGCGACCAAAACAACGTGACTGGAGGCACGCACAATACGTCTTTGGCGATAACTACCTGTTACACTGCCCGGCCGTCCAATTTGGCAGTTCCGGCCAAACAAAACACCGGCACGTAATACAAGCTGCTACCCTGGACAATTAACGGAAGAAGGGGGTTGTGAGTGTTAGTCACGGGACAGGACAGGTATCAACGCGTCACAGAACAGGTAGACGTCCGTCACCTCATTGGCGTGCAGGAAGGAATACACCCACAGTGGAGTACACCTATCTTGGCTATATATAGTACATATGTAGCACACATGCACGTTACACAGTGACGTTCATGGCAAACTGCACCACATGCTTGTTGCACTGTTAAACTGTTAGCATCAATCATTCAACTTGAGAATGAAAAAGAAAAAAAAACCTAATGTATTGTTGAATGTAAATATTATGTATATTTATCAGTCACTGATAAAATTGTGAATGCAGAGTCAGTGTAAAAACAAATGTTTGGTAGCAGAACGGATTGAAATCAGGGTTGTTTGTGATAAAGATACAGGTCAGTACATGCCCGGGGTTTTAAAAATGGATGTGTTTGTTGTTGTCAAATTTGGCGTAGGCAAAATGCCAAATGCCCGAGGGATGTTTGCTTCAGCCGTGTGTAGAATGTCCTCTACAACTCGCGTGTTTATATGCGTATTTATCATTTCTCCCCAAAATTACATTTCACTGGCAGCTCGTGAAGTACCTACCTGAGAGGTCCACACAAAACCATGACAATAAGTATTTCATCGCCGTTGTCTTCACAGAGTGGAACCTAAATATCATGTGACCCGAACGGTCCCTTGGCATTTGAGCCACTCTGACACCCGAGGGTTTATATAAATAGCAACTACCACTGAGTTTTCGGCATCGATTATCATCTGGTGATTTCTGCGAACTGTAAATCTATTTCCTGGCTATCCATAACTAATTTTACTACTCAGATAATACCCATATCACGTAGTCGCAGATGGCGACTTGATCACTTTGCAATCATAAACGTATAATGACATTAATTTAGGGATTAGTTTGTGTTCGTGGTACCTGTAAAATATCCATGTGTGAGTAACGTAGACTGCATAAACAAGTGTTGTTGTTGTCACGGTGTTTGTATGATACGGATATTCGATCATCTATTCCGGGAATTCCCAGCCCAGAGATCGTGGAATCGGGATCGGCCGAATCATAATAGAAAGGTTACACCCATGCCTGTGGGGAGTGGAACTTGGGAAACAGACAACCTGGCCCCCTACTAGGCCGGTGTGCATGGAAATCGATCCCATATACTTTTGGTAGCACGCAAGCGAAGGCGGCACCAGCAACTCTGTACATGTATGCTAGCTGTAGTGGACGTTATATAATATTAAAACAACGTGAACCCTGGCCCGACACGGACAGGGCGGTTCCGTTCCCGGGTACGTTAACCTGCGAGCGAGCTGGATGATAACATCTTGTTGCTCTGCCCCGAAACGCCATGTTTACATTTACGTCACGCGGAAAACACTGTAAGCTTTGGGACTACAACTCGTCCACCCGTGACCAGTGTCAGTCAGAAATTTCTCCCTTCTATCTCTTTTTTTCTCGCTACAAAATACGTTATTTTGTCTTAAGAATCATAGAATGTCAATCTAACGACGCTATGATTCGGGTTTTCTAGCCTATTTTCGCCATTTCCCTACTGTCAATGGATGGTCCGGATTGTTTTGGTGTCAGCTGGGCGGGGGCTCAGTATCCACGTGTGTCACACATGGCCGCCACGGTATGACGTTATCCGGTGTCGCATACAAATCTGTCGCACCAGTTTGTCGTCCTCCAAACATAGCGACAGATCCTATGGATTTCTCAAGGATTTCATCACACGCTTATCCTTCAATTTTACAAATGTTATTCAGAAAATGATCATTCATTGACTAGACAAACATTCTGTCAAATATTTTTCTCCATTCTCCTGCAGAGGTGGTGGGTTTATCGTCAGTAGCATACTAGTGCTACACCGGTTTCTTGGTCTCAGCTGATCATTTACATAAGAAAGAAAACAGATCAAATACTCATCTCTGATTGGCTACGTTTCCTATGGCAGAGCCAATTTTAGCTGTTACGGTCGTCCTCATTGGTGTATCTGGGGTGACGATCTGCTTGTCAAAAGTATTGAGCTCTCTTATTGGATATCGTCCAGCTGGCATGTCAGCTGATCCGGGCATGTCTGTTTCAGCAGCCCAGGACCCAGAGACGATCTGACCAGGGTAGCCGGAGGTAAACAAACGCAGAGGACAACGACAATCTCGCTCTCAAAGTGGCGAAAAACAGAAATTTCTGTCAAGATGATGGGAATTGCGACTCTTCTCGAGGCAGCCGAATTCCTCGAACGTAGAGAGCGGGGTAAGTGGCATATATCGTGTTTTTTTGAAACGCTATTTTTGGTGTGCTGTAAATTTCAATCGGTCGTCGATCGTCCTTCCAGAAATTCGCCTGCAAATGTCAACCCGATCTTCATGGATCTTTCTTGGTTTCAGAAGCGGAGCACGGATACGCCTCAACCCTGCCATACCCACACGAGATCCCCCCTAGGAAGCGGACCAAGTCTTCCAGCAGCTCGCGCCGATCTCAGGCGTCAAGGTGGGTTTTTCTGTCCCCGGCTCAATCCGTAGGATCGGCACCGGCTAAATTTGGCACTGGAAATGTGGGCGCCAAAAATGTAAACACTGCCACGCGTACACTGACCAAACCCGGCCTAATCTGACAGGTCCCTTTTGGTTGACAGATCGGGACCCACTCTCCCAGTTCTGACAGCACTGATGCTCATATGTGAATGTTTGAGGAAGGTCAGTTTAGGAAAAGGTTGTTAAAGTTGGATCTTCTCGCCAACGTGGGCGATTTCAGGCCGGCGCCATGATGTTTTCCTGTCAAACCGAACGTTAATTTGCGGTGCCAAAAATATGCGCCAAAACCGCCCGACGCAACGTCAGCCTTACATACCAAGCTCGCCGATTCCCGTAAAACTAATTTGTCACCGTAGAAAATAAGAGACCCTGGCAACACACTTAGGTGAGGCGTGGGGATTTTACGGAATTTTTGTGGTGTATTTTTGATCAGCTGAGAGGCCCAACATGGCCTCCGTCTCACATGACAGAACGGTGTTGTCATTTTTCCTGCCGCAAGGACGTCACCGTCCCCCGCCCATACTTGTTTCGTTTCCTCAGAAATTGTCCCGCACCCAGGAAATTCTACTGTCTGGACATATTTCATGACGATTGTGACGTGTCCTGTCTGTAGAATATGAACGTGACTTTGAGTTGACATTTTCAAGGACTACTGACCCGATGGCCGACCACTTGCGGCCGTGGACGTAGCTCAGTGCGGCCAAATAAATACCACATTTCCAGTCTTGTCATTTCGTTTGCATTTTTGGCCGCCCTACCTTTATTCTAGGATGATTATAGATTTTTCTATATGTTGTCAGGTGCAATCTGAGTAGTGTAGTCGCCCCATCTGTTGTTAGGGTTGTCTGCTGATGTTGTCTGTATCACTGACCGGCGGTTGGTTACAGAACTATTGATCAATGTGTTACCATGGTTACATTTTTGGTTTCCCATGATGTGGGCAGAAGGTACAGGAGTAAAGAAATCCCTGCCACCTCACCTGCCTAGACCTGCCATGCCTGTTTCTGCTGACCAGTTAAATCACATGGTAGTAAAGTACTAATTCAAAACCTTGGATCTATGCCAACTTTCAGTAAGACAAATGTAGTTTGGCCCTGTCCTTTGCACCTTTAGGGCAGGGTGTATGTCCATCTGTGTTTTCAATGATTTTCTGTCCTTTTGCAGCCGGACCACTCACAACGAGCTGGAGAAAAACAGGTGAGCTGCACATCATCCGTTTCTACCGTTGCTGGGTCCGCCATAGCTGGGGTACACTTCTCAATAGGCTTGATGTATGCACAGCAAATACCGCAAAACAAAGGGGGTGGGTTTGGGTTACGATGGCACAGAAGGAGTCCAGGTATCTAAAATGGGTCAGAATTAGCATAAAGGGGATGATTTGGTACACCTTTTGGCCGCTGCGAGAGATTTGGAAAATTCTTCTGGACTGTAGCTGTGGCGACTAAAACTGCAATGGTAAATACTGGGAAGTACTGTGACGTAAGGGACTGTACCATGACTCATGTGTTGGCGGGGGATTACCGGGCGTCTTTTATCACCTGGTAGATGTACCTGTTTGCCCACATGACAGCAGCCAGATTGGTATCGCTCATGCCTCAAACATGCCCGTACACGTCTTAAGGGTAAAAGAAGAGGTGGCAAAAAACTGTTTGCGTACGGAATTCCGATCATTTGAAATAGTGTCTAGTGCTGCAAAATTCCCCTCAGTGCTTGTCAGGGAACACACATGGGCTAATGCGCGTGCAGCCCCATTCTGCAAACGTGAATAATTTAGCATGGATTGATGTGCATTCTTGAAAGCATGGGTAGAAAGTCATCTCCACTTGATGGACACACCAGTTCACCTGAGGGGCATATATTGTGCATGTGCAATGACACAATGACAATATTTTTAGTAATGATTTATGTATGATTATTTTGAAAGTATCCCAAATGTTGTTGTGTTTATAGCATTGTAAAGGATAGCTATGGATAATATTTATGTTTACATTGCATAAATAGAGGTTCCATACCAAAATTGCTGCTGGTACAACAGTGGTAGTTTTAGCAGACTTCTGTACTTTAAGGTACAGAATTAAATGAATGAAGATGGGTAAAAATTGCATTGCCATTACAAGCTGCTTCCTATGATTATGAAGACTTCTTGCTATGGTCTGTAGGGACTTAGCTTATTTCAATTTTCATATGTTTTCCATTTGCCCTATCTATTCTATTAATAAATGCATTAGCTGGGATTATCTCAACAGGTTATTGGTAATTAGTGGAAGGCAATTCCAAAATAGTGTCATACCTCAATTCAGGCTTTGAATTTTCTGGTGTCCAACATTTAAGGGTGTGCCTCATTAATTATGTAGAATGCTATTCTGGCCAAGAAAACATGGCTGGAGAAGGTCAGGGTCCGTTACCCACTGAGTGCCCAAGGTCAAATGAAATTCCCAAAGCTGGATGCCACATGTAAGGAGGGTTGACACTGCAGGGGGGCAAGGCGGCCCCTCCCCCCTGTTTTTTGTCCTGGATTCCAGACACCTCTGGAGTTACTAAAGCTCTATCTGGCACCTATTTTATTTGTGGAGTTTGCCAAAAGTCTAGAAAAGATGACAGCAGAATCAGGGAATATATATTTCCAGAGAAATAATTTGCATTGCATGTATGATACTGGTATGTGCAATGCTTAATTACTATTTTTTAATTACCCAATGAATGGTTGCATTTGTCTGTTATTTGAACGATAAAGAAGTCACTGTTAGATGAACGAAATCTTGGTAGGTTTCTACGTTACTTGCCACAGACAAGTGAGGCCTTGTCTTGTGACTGGCTGGATACCATTTCCTTCTGGGGAAAGGGAACAGCACAAACAAACCTGTAAAGGGGAGTCCTGAATAGACAGTCCCCTTTTATCAGCTCTCCTTATCAGCCTGGCTGCTTGTGGAGCCTTTCACTATGGAGGAAAAGCAAACCAGGGCTTTTGGAGATAAGGATTTCCAAGATATAAAGAAGGGCTGCACTGTCTTTTGAGACCAGAGCCATTCTGTACATTTTTGGAGACTTAAACAAGACACATTCCAGTGTGGTGCACTCCAAAAATACTGGTTTAGCCAATTTTAGTACCCACTTGTTAACATGTTGGAGGCAAAATTGCTGCAGAAAATCATTACTTTCTTAGAGCTTGATGGTTGGCAGTCAATACTCAACTGCTTGTGGAAAGTTCCATAATGACATACATACTTAGCTCTTGTTGCCTGAGGACCAAAGCTATGTGGTGCCAAAGTCAGGGAAATGCAGTTGGCTCTAGCAGCTCTGAAAGGAATCAAAACAAATTTTGAGCGCCACTTTCCAGGCGGCCATATACCCAGCTGTTACCTGTTTGACTGGTCAGTGTTTGGGTGTGTTTGCATGACTGACCACTTCTCCCATCTATCTGTCAATTACATTACTTTCTTTTCAGCAGCTCAAAAAAGTGTTGTCACTACGAACGCTGCTGATTGGTCGATAAGATCGGCAGGAACGGTTCTTCGGTTGCACTGTTCAAACACTGTAGGTGGTTTGTGTGTTGCGTACCAACGGCAAGTTATCCGTTTTCCTATTCACTGCAACTGATCGTGGCCCCAGAACAATGGTAGTGCTGAGAGAAAATTGATGTTATTGTGTTAGCTCCGTACCCATGTCACTTTGTTGTGATAGGTCATCTGAAAGCCAACCAATCAGAAGCCAGTTGTGGTTGTCACAGTTCGAGGGGTCAAGCCCTCAGGCATATATTTCTTTTCAGCTGTGGTCACATGGTTTTGTTTTGGTGTCTCACGTGAGTGCGCTGGGAACTGAGGCAAAGGTGGGTGTCAGGATGCAGCCAGAAATAGCTAGCTGGGGCACGCAGAGGGAATTTATACCTTTAAAGGATTCACAGTTCTAAGATTGGCAGAGTTTTTACATTCACAAATGCCTCCACCAGAACTGCAGTCCCCCTAGGTGCAGGCCTTCAGCAATCCTTGAATACATGTCAATCATTGCTTCTATGGTAACAATACCACATGGATTCAATTTCCCAGTAGCAGTTGGATCAAATTTTTGGGAGTGCAAGAAAACCTTTAAATTGGTAATCTGAAAATAAAGTGATAAAAAGAGACAATTATGCTTTGTATTTGATTCCAAAAGATTTAATTGAAGAATATTATGTCATCTAATTTATGGTGATTATAGTATTGGTCCTTTCATTGGCATTTTATGTTTATACTGGGAGCACCACCCACCCTACCACTCCCAAATTACTTCTCCTCCCCTGCACACTTCTCTCACCTAAACAAACAACACTGCCCTGTCAATGTACCAGCTGTTAGAACCTGGGCGATTTTCATTTCAGAGGAGACAAGATTTCGCTCTTACTCACTCCAGTTCTTTGGAACTGACAGGAATTTTCTATAAGTATGACGATTTACCATAGTGTGTCCCTGTGGCGTGAGGAAAAATGGTGTTGCCAAGTATTGTCTTTATCATTGACCCTGTGGTTAATTACCTTTGCCCCATTACATCACAAAGAACTTTGTTGCCTCTGATGAGTGACAGATTTCTGCCCAAACCACAGCATGATCAGATTATCCACACCAGCCACAATTTTCCACCATTTTTGAAGACAGACCTGGTAGCAAACAGTAGCAGATGTTGTATCACTGCATTTTGGGGGTTATGGGGTAAATGTCCCTGAATGTAGTTCAATGTAATCTGCCTGCTCTGGAAAATGACTCCAAAATGACACATGAACATGTCCTCTGGATACCCAGTAAATCAGATATTATTTCTGTGTCCTTGGTGCAGATGAATTTTCCTGGATGTAATTACAGAAGTGCACGTATATTTGTGGAAGTATAATAAAAATCTGTTTTAGAAGTGAACATTTGGTATTCCTCGCAGCCAATTCTTTGCGAATTGAAGACCGGACATAAATAGACTGGAGATGTGACTCCTGGGCCCCTATATTATTAGAGCAGGAGAAGCTGTGCATTATAGGGCCTAACTTGATTCATGGGGATTTAATTAGAACTGTCAGGTCCTATTCCCTCAGCTCTATACAGGGCTAAAGGTCACCAGCACTGAGTAATAAACTAGATTTTCATTCAGTACCAGTGGTGCTCAGAAAGCTACTTATGATGATAATGACATGTGCTCACATAGATTTTCATAAGATAAGGATATCAGTATGAATTGTTATTGTAAAGAAACCACAATGTTTGTTTTTCCATTGGTTTATCAGGATGCAAGATGGAATTCTGAGTATTGTGATGCTGCCATACCGGGAAGCCTAACATATAGATCCCAGGTTGTTCACACATGCAGACAGTGCTCCTAGTATTGTAATTTTTGCAAGCAAGCCGTTCCCAGGATGTTCACACATGCCCACAGGGCTGATGTTGGTAAATCAGTGCAGTAGGAGAATCAATTTGCCTGCCTTGCTGTTGCCATGGCAACAGGATGGGAGCCCACCCTTTGCAGCAGGAAGAGACCAGATGTTGTGTTCCCCAGTCCAGATGGGAAGATGGGGCCCCTATCAAAACTGCATCTACACCATATCATTTCTATTTCAAGGCATATTTTTTTCGGGGAACGAAAATAATGTGACAGCATTGTTCCCTATTAGACCCTGTTCATACCAGACTTATATTTAGCGGTTTCAACCGGTTTTTCAAAAACCCGGCTAAAACCCTTAGCGTTCATACCAGACTTTTGATAACCGGTTTTGTAAAAATCCTGTCCGGTGAATATCCAATTAATCGGCCATGACTGCAGTTTGAATAACCGTTCCTCCCGCTCTTCTGATTGTTGTCCTTGGCCTTCTTGCTTGTATGCCGTCTTCAGTTTGTTTTATTACCTTAGTGCATCACTGATCCTTTATCTTCAAGAAATCAGCCTCCTCCAACATTTTTGTTTCGGTAGAGCCCTCCCCCCCTTAGCTTTTTCGAATTTGGCGACTCCTGCTCTCCAAACCTTAGTATCAGGAGCGTCCCATTCGCCGACCAGGTTGCGTTTGCTGATTCCATCGCAAAATGAAGAAAAACCGTGGAAAAACAGTGGAAACGAACTCAAAGTTGGTCAAAACAACGCGATCAAAAAAGCTTGCAGGTCGCACACGGCCAGGATGCTGACCCGTGACCCCGGAATTATGACGCAAAAACCGGTTCAATAAACCCTTAGCGTTCAGACCAGGTTTT